GATGACTGTTAGACCTGGTGTAGCCAAGGAATGTAGTTCGTCTGAGCACTTTCCATTGAAGTACCGATAGATCAGTGAGAGGATCGCCACATCCCACCTGTGAGAGAGAGAGAGGGAGAGAGAGAGAGAGAGAGAGAAAAAAAGAAAGAAAGAAAGAAAGAAAGAAAGAAAGAGAGAGAGAGAGGGACTAGAAATTGAGGACCGGGTAGCTCCCGCCCAATAATAGGTGATACGGTCCTCCTGTTAATTTTTATCTGATATTACATGTAAAAATCTTCGTGCTAAAAATTCCCATCTATGAAGACAAAATATGTCAAAATTACTCTCTCGTACATAATAATCATTTCTAAGAAACTGAACAAATTTAGCAAGAAAAGTTTTTTTTTTTCAAAAACGGGGTACGGTATTATGCTCATTTGATAAACATGCGTCCGAAAAACAATTTACCGTAATTCCCCATGTATAATACGCCTTCATCCATAATACGCACCCCTAAAAGTGTACTGAAAATGTAGGAAAATGCTTCTACTCACGCATAATACGCACCCCTTGTTTGGTAATCAAACCCTATAAATTGTACATCTCCAATTTCATTACAGCCAGCGTTTCCTACTCTTATTTTAAAAAAAGATTTTTAAACATAGAATAATATTATTCTAATTTAGTTTTATAATAATTCTTATTTTATTCTACATTTGTAAGTATTGTTAGGTAAAGATGATTGTATTTGACATCCTTATGGGGTCGCAGTCGCCGAATGTTAATGTCAAATTGTCGTATGTTTGTGGTGAGGAGTCATTTCGCAACTGAAATCAACCTATGAAAGGGCAATTTTTAAAGATTTTTTGTAACTGTGCATAATACGCACATCTAATTTTGCTTATTATTTTTTAGAAAAAAATATGGGTATTATATATGGGGAATTACGGTGCATCAAAAGTTGCATGTAGTCGAGTAGTCACCAACGTAATGACTATATATCCAATTATTATATTTTTGATTTACATGCTTGTCGACCCAGATAACCTTCAGAGAATTTCGAACTGTTGTTATCGGCACCCGCTGGAAGAAGCCCACACACTTGACCAGGGATTGACACAAGCGAGATCTGGCAAACCTGGTTGCATCGGGCTGTCGGATGCTTGGTCTCTCAAGGTCCGCCTTAGTAACGCTAGTACGACTGGCACTGTCCTCTTCCACCGACAATGACATTATTTATATGCCAACTATTACCCTCATTGTTATTACCACAACGTTTCAGTCGTGGTGCCCCCAGGCCTTCATCAGCTGCTTGTCGACCTAGATAACCTTCGGAGAATTTTGAACTGTACTCTTTATTTAATCTACGGGGATAAATTGTTCTCATTCCGCTGATCATATCTTGTCTAGTTCTTATTTTGTACTGGTCACTTATCGCTCGCTAGTTTTTCATTGAGCCTAAATCTGCACAACCCAGCCCAGAGATTGAAATCACAATTACTACATTACCAAATTCGCGAACCAATGCTACTAGGCTAGACGTTTCGTTCAATTTCGCAAACGAATCGATGAAATTTGAATGAGCTGATTTGTTGAGAAAATACCTTGACAAAAATGCTACTTCGCAATTTAATTTCTTTAACTTAATTTAATTTTATAGGACTTCATGGTAAACAATATTTTTTAAAGAAATTTTTTTTCCTTTTTAACAGTGAAGAATAAATTCTTAGGATTTCTTACTCTTGAGCATGCAACATACAACTAGCCATGTGTAAATATTTCTTTCTGGTGCCAAATTCCAACTTTTTGAAGCGCTTAGCCTTATGATTTGTTTATAGTGCTCGCAAACGCAGAGTGAACTGGAAACTAGATTCTTGTATATATAAAACCTTAAAGAAAAGATATACCAGAAACAATATTGCATTTTTATTAAATCAGTATTTGTTATTTTAATCATTAAATTGTTTTATTAAAATAGTGGGGGTATTTTTCATGTTAAATAATAAAAAAAACACCAAAAATTAATGTGGTGATTACGAAACAAACTCCTTTTATCCACTCTCTCAAATTCGAGCAAGCTGAGGGGGAAGATGGAAAGATAATTCGCAAGCCTATGTAAATTTTTCTTTGGACCAATGAAAACATTATATTCACATGAATTAGCCGTTGAGCCTAGAAAAAGAAAAAAAAAAAGAAAATGGCGAGCCTATGCGAAATTCTTTTTTTTTATATAAAATAAGGGAAAAAGTTAAATCAACAAGAGAAGAGCGTCCGAAGTTATGTGAAAAGTTTCATTTCTGTTCACGCGTCCAGATTTTCGCCAGTGTCAAATTACTTTCTGATTATCGACCTTAACGAAGCACCTTCGAGGAACTTTATTTCAACAATCCAAGAGAGCTAAGTATTTCAAGCTATCTCTCTTCGTCTACTTTTGAATGGATCCAACCGTATAACCTTTCTGTAAACAATGAACCCTCTTACATTTGTTTTAAACATTTTTAATATTATTTTGTGCCAGATGATTTAATCTGTTGAATGGACATTTCTTCTTCATGACAATTCATTGAAAATAGGGACTTATTTGGGATTTATTTTCCTGAAACGAGCTACTTACAAAACTTCAAGTGTGTAATTTTGTAAATAAATTTCTTTTTTTTTTCTTAAAAATAACCCGTATGTTTCCTCATCATTATCTGTCTCCATTAATCTTCTTACCGTGGGTAAATCAATTTTTCATTTTAATCCCCGAACTCCTACACCACTATGTATAGATTTCAAAATCGTACGGAAAAAAAGTAATTTTTTAAAAATAAATCTTAAAAAATGTAGACTTCTTTTCCTGTCACACCTGGAAGAAAATAATGTTTTATTAATTTACTAGAAGTAGAGCCCGGCGTTGCCCGGGGATGTAACAGTAAGAGATAGATCAAGTATCGACCATCATAAAGACTGAAAAATAAAATTGACAAAGATTATTGTTTAAGGTTGACGGACACGCATGTCTTAATTAGTTTTTTTTTTTTGTTTTGTTTTGTTATTTTTTTTTACGAATTGGTTAAACCCAAACTCAAACAAAAACATTTTTTCAATCGTTATGAGTCTACCGATTGAATAGAATTTTATTATAAACAATTGTCTTGTAAATGGAATTTTTAAAGCATTCTGAATGTAAAAATAAAGAAAAAAGTGTGCAAGACAATAAGAAATACTACCTGCCAAAAAAAAGTGAAGTTTTGTTGAAATCGGTTGAAAAATGTAGGAAATCCGATCCCATATATAAACGAACACACACACACATACAAACAACCTGGGTTTTAAGTATAATTCGATATGAGTTGTCCTCCTTTCATTCTCGCGCTACCTCTTAATCGTGTTTTCAAATTGATTTCGTGCAAAAACACTTGTGTTTTTCCAATTTTTGGCGCTGTCAGAACCACCGCAGGGTAATTTTACGTAGTCCTGTGAAGTTTTGTTGAAATCGGTTGAAAAATGTAGGAAATCCGATGCAATATATAAACGTAAAACACACACACACACACACACACACAACACACACACACACACACACACACACAACCTGGGTTTTATAATAAGTATGATGCAAGCACCAACTCTCAAGGAAAAAACGCTCGAGTTTTATTGAATTATTTTTGGTAAAGTTTGAGATTATTTTTTTTTATATACTCACAGTTGATATTATATATATTAAATGAAATAACTTTTATTTATATAGCTAAAAAAATGTCGGGCATCTGCCGCTCCTCACAAAATTTAAAGTTTCCATGATATATCTAAAACGGTTATGAAACTGACATAAAAAATATTATCACAATTTTTCTAAAGAACGATCTATCCAACATTAAAACAATCATTAATGAATAAGCACTAAAAATTTAATTTAAATCGGATAATTCTCTGATGTTTTTTTTTTTAAACTAGGGGTAGGGTTGTTTTGCTATCATTATAAAAGTCAATGTATACAAACAAAATAGTCTATAATTTATAAAAAGATGTGGGTGAGTGTAAAATAACCACAACCGCAATGGTCGAAGTAATTCTGAATTATTTTATTCTCGTACTACCGAGATACACATACAAAACTACACTTGGCCATTCAGCTGTTTTATTTTTTAAAATGTTGAAATTCTATGAATAATCGTCTCGGTTTTTTTATACCCATTTTTGAGAAAAGTGCGTTATTCTGAAGGCCAGGCGGTTTGTGTTGAAAATTCTTGGAGTTTTTTTTTGGCCTTTTATGTTCAAGCGGTTGATATCACCAAAATTGTTTGATCTGTTGTGGATTTTTTTTGAGTATTTAGAGAAGGGTTTTATATATATTGGCTAATGAGAAACGAATTTTTCGTGCCCTTGTGAAATTCTGACCAGAACTGGCATAATCAGGCTTCTTCAATAAAAAAGAATAGAATGAGCTGGTAACAAGGGAACAAGACAAGTAGTCGAAATCAAAGAAAGCACCAATTCTAAGCTCGCTGTGGTGAGACCAAAATTTCAAGTGAAAATTCTCCTCTGCTTGTACAGCCTAAAACAAAAAGATTTCAAAGAACATTTCAAGCACGAACTTTGTAAAGTTAAAAGGACCTTTTTCAAAATAACTGCTGTGAAAGTAGGTTTTTTCCGTTTATTCTCAATGGTATTCGAACCTTTGTTTTTTACTGCCCCCTTGTACTGTTTTCTTCTTTTATCATTTAGAAAATCCTTGTTTTACTCTAGCTGTAATTTTCAACTTTCCTTGATAATCCTTGAAATTGTTATCCTGCCTTTGAAGCGTATAGAAGGAAATTTTTCTTCGTAATTATGTAAACTGTAAATAAATGCGTTTTTCCTTTTGAAATTTTACGCAGTGGTTGTCTTGATTTAAGATTTTGAGCCTCTTCTGACTTACCGTTTCTACCAAATGGGTTTTGTGTCTGGCACAAAGACTTGGAGATGATAGGAAGGTAAAAGTTTTATAGTTTACATACAACTAAAAGAGATAATTTATGTCCTCCTGTGGAAGTCCCCCATTATCTAATAAGACCTTCCCTTTCTACTCTACAGTGAGAATGAAAAACAATATTCGAGCAAAGAAAATCTCTCGAAAGTAATAAAAAACACAGCCGCATCATTTAAAAAGATGTTAACAAAATCAATATAAAAATTACAGAATAATTATTTATGATAATTGAAAATGGATATTGAGTTGACTGAATATATTTTTTCGGTGGCCTATATTTCTTGGGTTTCTTTGTAAATAAAAAGTTATGATACACTTTGTTTGAATAATAAATGTTGACACTCCCAAAACAACTCAATATTTTTATTACGAAAATAAAATAAAAAGATTAAACTCTCAAAATATGTTTGCTCATATAAATATAAATAAACATAAGGAACGAGAAAACTTCGAAAGAATCGTTTTTATCCCTGCATACAATATTAGAAATTTATCTAAGCTAAAACAATTACAATAATTTAGTCAAGGACAACGTAATTAAAACAATAAACTGCATCGCTCAATAATTATATTAAAATATCAGAAAGAAAACTACAAAATCAAGCATGCAGACTAATAATCCCAAGGTAGAGGTAAAATAATACTAAAATGAATTAAATAAGAGCTAATAACGAACAAAGATTTCACCTAGATATAAAAGATATTTACCCTTCAATAACCGAACCTATGCTATATAAAGCCATCTCCTCAGGGACACCTTAAAAATTAACACAGATTAACTAAAAGTTATCAAGCACTGCCGAAAGTCACTGTTATTCGACAATGAAATTGTTGACTAAAAAAGGTATACAAGTAACATTCGACGTTATATAGGGAGGTTTTGACGGAGCCAAAACCGTCAGGCTTATACGTTCTACATGGACTAAGCAAAATAATCGACAAAAATTATATAGCCCTATATAGTGACGCCAATTTCATAATGAAAAAACTATAACAGACAAAACAAGAGAGTAATCCCCAATTTTATTTCTTACGGCTTATCAACCTTTCTTTTTTGGGGGTCGATAATAATGATTTTCTTATAATATTTCACCCATAGCTGGTAGGAGAAGAGATTGCTTCATAGCTTTCTCGAGGGTATTTGTACGTAAGTGAATGTAACGAAACCGACTGACATTCAGTTTTTTATTCTGTTAAAACACCCGCACTCTCAAGATTACAGCACCTGGTATTCACCAGCAGTTACCTGTCTAGGTACTGACCAGGCTCAACGTTGCTTAACTTCGGTGATCGGATGAGAACCGGTGTTTCAACACGTACCGTAATTCCTCCCAAATATCTTCAAAAAATAGAATTTGATATAGACATAAAACCAAAGCTAAGAGTAGATTTCCTAGATGTCATATTCAGCCTATAAAAATGCACATATCAGTCATATAAAAAAAAACAACAGCAAAGTACTTTATATACACATATCTTCCAAACGCCTACCAACAATAATCAAGAAGATCCCACGATCAATTAATCGTAAATTATCATACAATTCTTCTAACGAAGCTTAAGAAAATTATGAAACAGATTTAAACGATAGTGGATTCTCAGCAATTCTCACATACAAACCACACAGCACAAAAAAATAACAACGTATATCAAAAAGGTTAAAACAAACGCAAGAAAAGAAAATTAAACCCTTCCCTGTATCATGCACACCCCACAAAATACTCAAGAGAAACATTAAAAATCAGCTATAGTTGAACCGAGAACATGACTCAGAAAATAAATAAATCACAATATAAAAATAACCAACAAATCAACTTCATCAACCAAACCCACCTGTAACTACAGAGTAGAGCACGAATGACCCATAAACGTTAGATAACTAAGAAAAATATACAAACCGAATGACTTTGGAAACAGAGACACAGCGCAAACAAAACATATTTAACGACAGTAAAAAAACGTCTTTAGACCCCCCCCCTAAAAATAGACTACTGAACTGTTACGAGATATATAGCAGTGAATGCTCTCCTCAAAGATGAAAAAGAGACTTGAGGTATCACAAAAGTGGTTTTTGAGAAGGATGCTGAGGATACCATGGACCGAACATGTGAGCAACGACGAGGCTTTAGAGAAAAAGAAAACAAAAAGGACATTTATACTTAACACCAGGAAGAGACAGTTGAAATTTCTGGGACACAATGAGGAAGGAGGCCTTGGAAAATCTGATACTCACAGAACAGATTGAGGGCAAGAAGAACAGAGAAAAACAGCTTATAGCAGGCTTGATGTGCTTAAGTAAATGGATTTTGGGACAGGGTTTAGGAGAAATAACGAAAAGACAACATTTATTAAGAGCTACAAACGACAGGAAATTGTGAAGCGTTATATTCGGCTACATCCTGAGAGCACATAAATAAGAAATAGGTAAACAGCACAACACTTTCTAAACATATATAGGAACTGAAGTGCAAACACTAAAATAAACTTCGGTGATTGGATGTTTCAACGTGATATCTCTATCTATAAAAGGCAGGATGTGTGTGTGTGTGTGTGTGTGTGTGTGTGTGTGTGTGTGTGTGTGTGTGTGTAACGAATGCACAGCCGCAATTTTCGACGGATTTGCACCAAAATTTACATGCACATGCTCCAAGTTAGTGGGAAGGCCAAGACCATCTTTGCATTTCCCAATTCCCATCGGTAGTGTAAATAATCGATTTGTTCATGTTTCTACGGCAATTTCATGTAGTTTGCGACCATTTTCTACTGACCAGAGTGAGAGCCAATAGCTGGCTGCCACGAATAGGCAGGAAGATTCTATTGGCCAGCGTGAGAACCAACAGCTGACTGACACGAATGTTAACTAGCATGCTAGCATGCAAAAAAAAATCGACAGCTGCATTCGTCACAAATGGGAAAAATTTAAATCTGCATGGCACTTTACTCCAATTGGCTCATTCACTTGCTTAAACTCAATATCGATTCTGATTCCGCAGAACTGAGTTGGGTGTGAAAAAGTATTTGTTGTTAACATTCTTTTTTCATTCGGTTTTTCCAGTTACGAATCCTTTTTTAAAGCTGATCGTTTTGTGTTCATTTTGTTTAGTTCTTTTTTCGTAACAGATTTAATGTTTAGTATAGAACTTAGAAAAAATTCTCAGTGTGAGATAGGCAAGAAGTAAGGCATGTAGCAACATCAGCACGGCAAAGGGCACTCCTTTAAAGGCAAGGAAGGGCAAAAATATTTTAAGTCAAGTGATAGCGATTGCTGTAATTTGTGAATCAAGCACGGGCAACGCAGGGCCATGCTGCTAGTCTTCACTAAAAGGAGGGAAATATTCCTTAAATAACAGCATTTTTAAGCTGAATTCGCCGACAGATAGTTTCTTTTTCATCCAAAGGAGGTTAAACAATACAATTTGTCCGATGATTAATCGCCAGTTTGATCAGATATTTTACGTCACGATCATTAACAATTAGCGATCATTAATCATTAACAATTAGCAAAAGAGAAATTTCAAAACTTTCCAAGTAGAAAAATTTGAATAGATTTTTTTTCTGTACATCTTCAGTATTGAAGACTGTTAATGCAGAGGACGCTCCGAAACTAATGCCTCATTTTTTCCCCCGACGGAAACTACAATATATATTTTTCTTTACAGTAAGGTTCACCCGATACAATGCCCGGAAGCCACTTGAGGTAGAGGCTTATGGTAAGGAGCAGTTTATACGGATAGGAGTGGAAGATAACGGCTAACTGTACACTTGAACAGATTAAGATTGCAGTGATCGTGGACATATCCTCTTGGGAGTATGTTTCACAAGGTAGTAACTCCATTGAATAGATCCTCTTTTCAGTTACAAAAACATGATTTTTTTTCTACATCGTCTCTTTCACTGGGTATGTATTCTTGTCATTAATGACCATTGATGAGAAATTCACATCTCATCGCTACATTGACTGATCTTTTCATTCCGGCGAAACTTCGTTTTGTCATCGGTGATAAAGTCGTTCATAAAACTGTACCTTCTACCTCGAAGTAGTTTCAACACGTTCTGACAGACTTGTATTCGATAAACGTTCTGTTATGTGACCATACGTTGAACCCACAGTTATAGAGTAGCTAGTACTCTTTCAGCACTCTACCAGAAGGCCTGGCTCATAGCCTTAAATAGTCTACGATTAAGGACTTCAGCAGATTAGTAACCGAACTGATCTTACTTCGTTTGGCTATACAGCAATTGTCCCTCCATCTCATCCACATCGCCAATCTGTTATATCGTCAAGGTGAATGATACACAGAGAAGAATGTGCGTTAATATATTATTCAGCGCCAGTATCCGGAGCTAACGGATATATACAAACAACACAGAACAATAAGTTACAAAACAATTAACAAGACAACTTACAAGGAATAGAAGAGGGTCAAATTATGTATACCCAAACTCAGTAAGATCAGTCCGAATATTAATCCGTTTAGCATCAACATATTAATCAACTGTTGAAGTCCTTAATTCTAGACTATTTAAGCTATGAGCCAGGCCATCTGGTGGAGTGCTGAAGGGGTGCTAGCTACTCCACAACACCCACCTAGCACAAACTTTGTGTCATCCCAATGTTTCCAGTGCACTGACACTGACATTCAGTTCCGTCCCTGGTTGTAATCCGTCGATTCGCGCGGATGACCTGACCAAGTCGACCATTTATTCGGAGCGTGGTTTATCTGTATCTCGTGAAACTTAATACCCATCGACTAACTGTGCTCACGTCCACTCTTTGGTCTCCGTAATCTTCAATAAACGTCAATGAATGCCAATGGGTGCATTTTTTCCGTTTGGACAGATTCAAGCACACGCCTATATTTTGTATGCATTTTCATATGCGACACCATTTTGCCAAACTCTCTCTCTCTCTCTCTCTCTCTCTCTCTCTCTCTCTCTCTCTCTCATTTGCTATTAGTAACAAGGTCAAAAAACGTATTATTTATTAGTTGGAGGATTTCAACTCTGCTGCATTACCAACAAGCTCTATCCATACCGTTGTGAACCACGACAGTCATAGAGGAGGCATGACTTTCGGAACGGCCTTCGTATTTAAGAAGAATTTACACTATCGAAAATTTTGATTTTTTTTTTCTTTTCGTGTTTTATTTACAGTATTATTGTAACAGAAAAATATTTAAAAACAATTGCACGAGTTTAATTTTGATATCGGAGTTTATTAAAAACAAACGTATAAGCATTGATAGGGCCGCTAATATCAACATTTACGACATAGAGCAGTTAATTTTCAATTTGTCATCGAATTTCTCTTCAGTAACGCATAGATTTTATTGTTGTAGGAAATTTTTATTGATTTGATGAATTTTAAAACTTATATTTTAATTTGATGAAATACATTTTTTATTACAAAACTGTTTTAAAAATCGAATCGCTCAATCACAAATCTGTTCTTCTTTCACATTAAAAAAAATGAAAATCATCTCATCTTACTTGGGATTTAAGATCGTTCTATATAGTTTATAAATAGTTTACATACAGTGTGATTGAAAAGTAACTCCCTGTTTTATGTATGATTGACTTTTCCGTGTAACTATAATTTTAACTATAATTTTTACAAGACGGGAGAGAATGTCTATAGCTTACAAACGAATCCAAACTCTCTCGTCTTGTAAACATTATAGTTAGATGGGAGAGTCAATCATACATAAAATAGGAAGTTATTTTACAATCACCCTGTAGTCTGTAATGTTTGGATTGGTTTGTAAGCTATAGATATCCTATATGGTCTATAGATATTCTACATAGTCTATAGGGTATTGGATTTGTTTATAGTCTATAAATATTCTATATATTCTATAAAGTATTAGATTCGTTTGTAGTCTCTATATATAGTCTCTGTTCTATATAGTCTAGTATTCTCTCTCTCCTTTTTTCTTTTTGTTGCTCTTTCCCTCTTTCTTTCTCATTTCTTCTTTCTTTCTCCTTTTTCTCGTACTCTTTATCTTTCTTCAGAAAAAAAATGCTTTCAGAGACTTTGAATACAAAGTAGCAGATCCTTGTTTTAGTAATCAAGTAAGAAAATAGGAAGCTAAAAATGTCAGCATTGAAATCGCAATTCTGTTTATGTTTAAGGCATAAATATTTTTCTTTAATACAGATGAATTTTTTTTCCATCCCAAGCACGGCGGGAAGCAACGAGCATGCAACGGGTTTCAGAGAGTTGGAGCAAGATCTAAGAGGAGTGATAAAGGAAATGTTGAAGAGAAGGTTAGGGGATAGATCAGGGCATCTGGAGACGTCGATTGACATTACATTTGAATAGTTGGAGATTATAGCTATCAGGGAAACAAAAAATGGGACGGGAGTTCCACAGGCGAGAAGTGCGAGACATGAAGCTACTGGAGTAGAATAGACAGCTCCATTTAACAGTTTCGACAGTGAAAGGGTGAGAGCGAGATGCCAGCCTATTTGAACGCTTAAATTCATGAAGTCTGGGAACCAGCGAAAGCAGGAGCAGTTACCGTGAAAGTATTTGTAAAAAAGACAGAGGGAGGCAACGGCACGTTTGTGAGAGAGCGGCTGCAGACGAGTTGTCAGATCAGGGCCAATTATAATGTTATAGCACATTAACAACAATTAAACCAAAAACTACTGAACTATTTTGGACGCTGGTCTCACATAAGTGTGAGACGCTCACGTTAAAACAATGTCTTGTGTTACATTTGAAACGACCGAGAAATCTGTTAAATATAATAAACTTTCGATCGCTCGAATCCTGTGTGATAGTCTGAATACATAAGAATACCATATTTTACACCTTCAATTCTAAATTGTAGATATATATATTGGTTAAAGAAGACTAATTGTCTTTATTGATTATTTCGGGTATGGCAAAGATTTTCTTTGCTAAAGTCACCGTCGAAGCAAAAGTCATAGAACGTGAACTATAACACTGATAACGTTTGTCTAACGATTGAATTTCCGTACAATTTTTAGGGTGATACACATGTATCAAGCCCGGGTCAATTGACTGGAATGCACTATGGTCTTTGGACGAGAGGCATTTCTCAAGAAACTCAATGTCTTCACCACCCCATTCTTTTGTCTTTGCGTTCAAAGAACCCAATTTAGCGAAATCGCTTTTATAGATGGAAAGCATGCCATTGCCAAAATAACGCCAGAAACCAAACACGTCATTTAGGTGAGTAAATGGTTTGTGTGCGCATTCCGATTCATTGGCGCAAGCGTCGAAAAATCGGTTAAAGACAATCGGGAAATAGATCAATTTTCCACGCAAAGTGTTGCGTCGAATCCGCTTGAAAACCTCTTCGTACAGCAATATATCGACGTCAACAATGAAAAGTAATCCAGACTGAATCACGGCAGCTCCTTCGTTGATGGCAGCGGCACGAGAAAAACTCCCATTCAGCAGGAGACACTGATACGTCACTTCCGGTCGGAGGCTATCCAGTAATTGAATAGCTTGTATTGTTGTTTTCAATGTAGCATCGGTGTCTTTGTAAGTAGCGAAAACAAAATGCAAGGACCCGATTTTGCTTTTGTCCATAGCAGATATTTTGCCGACAAAACGTTTTATCTCTTGCGTTCGTTTGAAAAGTGGAACAATAATATTAATCTTTTCCAACGATTTGCTCTGGGTGTTTTCTGTCGATTCACTCACAAATATGACTGGTTCAAATTTGAGCACTGAATGAACAACGCCATCTACTTTCGATGGACCGTCTCGCTTAGTTACCGGAAACTGAAAGAAAAGGCCGTAATTTGGTACCAACTTCCTGTAAACACTGTCCAGCTTTACTTTGCATTTGGTATCTTCTGTTTGGCAATAATTTTGAATTGTTTTCTTAAGAAGTTCATAGGCAATATTTCTACGTTGGAAAAATAAATCCAATTGAAGAAATTCGTAAGGATTTCTTAATGACGTCAACCGAGTGCCATTCACTTCCACCCAGTAAAAAGCGTGGTCGGCCATATTTTCTCCCAATGAGTTTGGCTGATAACTTTCAGCGGCAAACTGTTTTTGCAGTCCATCTAATAAAAAATACCACCTTCGTTTAATAAACACATTTCGTTGTTGAAGTAACGTTTCAGTGTCTTTAATTTCCTGTCTCAGTTGATTTGCTTGTAGCATTCGGAAATTAAGATTTTCTCTGAGAATCACGTGATGCATCCGGTAAAAATTGTCCAGTTGTTTTAATGGGTGAAATGTAAGCGCAAACTTTCCAGATGTTGTTAAGACTCGCTCAAAGTTTTGATGATCATTTTCCTTTGTGTATTCATGATGAAACAATTGGACAACCTGAAATTCGCCAAGCAAAGATTTTTACTCATAATCAGAGAACAAAAACAGAACTTTAACTTAAAATTGTAACGAAGAAAAAGTAAAAATGGATGACATTTGGATTGTCATATTTTGATATTCCCAATATTAAAAGTAATGAAAAAAATGATTTTTTTTTTGGGGGGGTGCGTTTAGATTAACCGTGTGCCACTTAATTAAATTCGAATGAAAATTTCAACAATCTGAAAATAAATGAATGCAACATATGTCTGGATTATTTATTTACTACCTGTAACAGAAACGTAGAGAAAATCCATTCTTAAAAAAAAACAACGTACCTTCGACTGCAAGTAAGAAAGTAACTGACAATACGTTTCTTGAAAACTTGTAATGGCATAATGTTACTAGTTTGTTATAGGAGTCATCGGCTTGTAGCGGCGTTGTGTCTTTTGTTGATAGCATCTTGTATTTGAAGGATATATATATATATATGTGTGTGTGTGTGTGTGTGTGTGTGTGTGTGTGTGTGTGTGTGTGTGTGTGTGTGTGTGTGTGTGTGTAGGAAACACTTAACGCATCATCGAAAACACGCTTATAAATTAGAATTTATTTCAACGGGTAAGTTTTTAATACCCATCTCATCAGACCGAAATTACAAATGGTTTAAATTTACAAAATGGTTTAAATTTATCCAGAATATTTTTAAAACACAACAGGAAATCTAAATGCTTGACCTAGAAAATATATTTTCTGGAGATTTATAATACTGAAGACATGTGTGGGGGAGAAGCGGTTAGCTTTCAATCCGATTTTCATCTGTGGTGGTTGGGAAAACAGTTACAGCTAGAAAACACACACACATGATACCGGAAACGATATATATCATGGATATAATAAAAAATGACTATTTTTTTATCTTCCATTGATTTTGCAAAAAATAATTCAATATCAAAACATATAATAATTTATAAAAAATAGTAAGCGAAGTAGGATTGAACGGACACATCTGGGTACTGACTAGACTCAACGTTGCTTAACTTGAGTGATCATACGGGAACCGGTGTTGCAACGTGATGTGACCGTGAGCCCACGTTCTGAAAAATCTTTTGGGGGAATTAGATCAGGTAAAACTAATTGTTATCTACGGCGTGTGGGTAGACATTAGCCTCACTCACTCGAGTCCCGTAATCTCCACTGAGAATTATGAAGCCAGCAATGTAGGCCAGGGGTCGTGCCACACGTGGCGCGCCAAGCAATTTCTAATGGCACGCAGCCGTAACTGACATCACGAAGTCCGAACCAATAGCTACTACAACACAAAGATATTTAGCTGTTTCAATTTTAATATATACTAAAGTATATATACTATATATTACTATATAAAATATATTGTAGAACAGGTATATTGACCTTGGCTTGTATAAAAATACATATGCTGTTGGCACACTGAGTGATTTTAAAAACCTAAGTTGGCACATAGCGAAAGTTTGCCGACCCCTGGATTAGAGTATCACCTCCAGTGGGTCAACTCTAGAGTTGTTCCACAGGTGAGAGTATATTTTTCATATTAAAATTAGTTTGAATCACCTTCGCAGAGAGAGTAGGTCTAAAGTTTCGGCGGGTGGGGTAAAGGTTTTTTCTAATATGAGTTGTCGAATTTATTTCTTCTTCTTATAAAATTTAAAACCAGAAGACTGAGACATAGTCACAAATTCCATTTGTAGCTGAAGAAGAATACACATTGGTGCGGAGGTCAAATTTTCTTCTATTTCCATCTAGAGGAATTAGGACAAACATCGCTGAGCTTAAAATTGATTGATCCAGTTTGTAGTTGTTGGACAGGTCTATACCACAATACTACACCTGCAAATTTAGTAAACTTATTGAAATTTGAAGACAATATCGGTCAAGAATATAATTCCTAGCGGGCCGCAGAAAGATAGTTTGTGGGTTGCGTGTTTGAGATCCCTGTTATAAACTATATAGAATATCTATAGACTACAAGTGATTCTAATAGCCTATAGAGTAGAATATCTATAGAATATAAGACTATATAAAATTAAACTATTCCAATACCCTATAGATTATATAGAATATCTATAGACCAGAAGACTATATAGAATATCTATAGGCTACATGACTATATAACATATCCATAGACTATAAGGCTATATAGAATATCTATAAACTACAATCGATTCTAATACCCAATAGACTAGAATATCTATAAATTATAAGACAATATAGAATACAAGTTATTCTAATACCATATGGACTGTATAGATTATATATAGACTATAAAGACAATATAGAATATCAATAGACTACATGGCATTCTAATATCCTATAGTCGATACAGGATATCTATAGACTACCAGACTATAGAGAATATCTATACAATATAAACGAATCCAATATTCTATAGACTATATAGAATATCTATAGATTACAGGGAATGGGATGTAGACCATTTGGCGTCGCTGATTCAATATAGCCGATTCGACATAGGAATTTTTCGGCAGGGAGACGTTATAGTCACATTTGCTCTCTCTCTCTCTCTCTCTCTCTCTCTCTCTTTAGTAGTAAAATTAGTGCTTTGTCGTTATATGTTCGAATAGTTCAATTATTTTTCTGACGCCGAATCATCCACACCAAATGGGCTACGCCGAAACGTAACAAATTCTAGATTATAAGATTATATTGAATATCTATAGACTATATAGATTACCTATAGACTACAAATGAATCCAGCAACTTGTAGATTATATAGACTATTTTTAGACTATATAGAATATCTATAAACTATATAGAAGGCCTATAGATCATAAAAATATATAGAATATCTATAGACTATATAGAATACTTATAGACTAAAAGCGATTCCAATACAATGTTTCCTTCTTCAGCCTAAGAGCATGTGTCTTTTTGTTTCTATTCTCTTTGTACGTGGAAATAGAATTTATTTATCTGGTCCCATCTGATCAATATTTTTCCTATGTTTTTGTTTCTGTATATCTGCTAGTCTCGTAGGAGAGATATGAGCGACAGGTGTCACCTGACCGTCATCCAGTAACTGGTCGACATATACAAAATCAGTAATGGGGACTTACTATGTAAGAATATTGCATCCATGTGGCTAACTAGAAAAATATCAACTAGTTAAATGTTACGGTTCTCGTAGTTATTTGAAAATAACTATGAAATTAATGTGCTCTTCTTAAACGACGAACACGAAATCATAGACGCTGGCGAGAGAAAACTAAAAAAGGAGTAGGCCTTTGGTATACTGTCGACTGTTTAAAAGAATTCATCTAATTAAGCTGAGAGGGAGGTTGTTTATTCATTATAGTAAGATAGACTCCAAAGTCAAAAAATTTGGTTCTTTTTAAAAACAGTTCATGATGCAAAATGATGAGGTAACAAAAATATCAATTTTATTATTAATTGCACATATTTTAATTTGTATTTGCAATACAAGTTATTCTAATAAATATTATTACTCACTTTACGCAATATTACTTCAATCAAACGCAATAATAAATTAATAAATAGAAAACTTTTCAGAATTTGTAAGAAAACTAGCAGCAAGGCCCGGCGTTGCCCGTGCTTGATTCAAAAATCGTACGACTCATACAGCAATCGCTATCACTTGACTTAAAATATTTGTGCCCTTCCTTGCCTTTAAAGGAGTGCCTTTTGCCGTGCTGATGTTGCTACATGCCTTACTTCTTGCCTATCTCACACTGAGAATTTTTTCTAAGCTCTATACTAAACATTAAATCTGTTACGAAAAAAGAACTAACAAAATGAACACAAAACGATCAGCTTTAAAAAAGGACTCGTAACTGGGAAAACCGAATGAAAAAAGAATGTTAACAACAAATACTTTTTCACACCCAACCCAGTTCTGCGAAATCAGAATCAACGTTGAGTTTAAGCAAGTGAATGAGCCAATTGGAGTAAAGTGTCATGCAGATATAATTTTTCTCACTTGTGACGAATGCAGCAATCGATTTTTTTTGCATGCTAGTTAACATTCGTGCCAGTCAGCTGTTGGCTCTCACGCTGGCTAATAGAATCTTCCTGCCTATTCGTGGTAGCCAGCTATAGGCTCTCACTCTGGCTAGTAGAAAATGGCCGCAAACTACATAAAAACTGCCGTAGAAGCATGAAAAATCGATTATTTCCACTATCGATGGGAGTTGGGAAATGCAAAGTCGGTTTTGGCCTTCCCACTAACTTGGAGCATGTGCATGTAAATTTTG